TGCTGGTGTCTGCAATCCCCCTTCCAAGCCTTTTCTTCCCACCGCCCGTGGTGAGCATAGCGTTGCCCACAAGTGCCCGGTGCCCATTCTCTGGCTTTACCACTCACTCAGCTGTGGGGACTGGAGAGCCTCCATGGTGGACCAGCAGCAGGGCTGCCCGTCTGGCTGTGATCACTCAGGGAAGGCTTACCTCCAGGCCAGGTGCCGAAAGAGATGGCTTCATAGGGAAACAGATTCCAGGCCAGAATTGGCCTCCTCGGGTGGGAACGTTGGCTCTGTGGGCGCCGCTGAAGATGCCCAACACCAGCCCCCAGCAGCAGGCCTTACGGCGGCGTGGTGTTGCTGGCGATGAGGTCAGGGAAATGAGTGGCCTCACCTGAGCATTCTCCTTCCTGACTGCTCCCCAAGAGCCCTGGCTCCCCAGTCCCCCCACCACAGCTCAGTCACTGTACCAATCAGACCTGAGGGGCGTCGTGAGTGACAGGGGCTTGGGGCCAGCCCACGAGACCCCGCCTTGTCTAGGGGAGGGGACAACTGCCACGCCCACATCCCTCTCCCCGAGCACCTCCCTCACCAGGCTGTGCATCAGCTGCTGCCTGTGCTCTGAGGGTCTAGAATCCCTCTCAGTCACAGCTGGGCGGGCGTCTGACCCCTACGCCCTCTCCTGTCCCAGACTCTGTCACCCTGTAGGCCACACATGTGCAGTCACCATCATGGGTCTACCAGTGTCACCTTGCACCGGGCCAGGCAGGGCGAAGGGCACATGGTCAGGGAGCAGACGCAGGCCTGCCCTCAGGGCGCTTCAGCCCAGAGCTGGCCAATGACCTTGCCCGCCCTGTCCATCCCGGTGCCAAGCCTGCACCTGTGATGATGGAGGAGGAGGCATTGGCATGTGTAGGGACAAGAAGGTCCCGGTCCCCCTCCCCCAGGCCATGGACGTGGGACAGGTGCTGTCTGCAGCCAGGGGCGGTAACTGACATAGCTTGTACAGGGAGACTTGTGCGGGCAGCCCGGCCACCCTCCTCCAGGGCGGAAGCTGCTGTTTGCTTGAATGTGACCTTGTGTGTTGGCTGTTTCTCTGTGTAAACCACCAGCCGCCCCGCAGGAGAAAGACGGGCTTTCTCCTCCCATAAAGAGTGGCCGTCTCAGAAACTCATGGGGTCATTCTGCCGGTCCTGTGGGGTCCTGTAGGGTCGCGGTGAGGCAGCATCGACTCAGTGGCACCGAGTTTGGTTTGGTTTTAGTGTGGTAATGTCTGCAAGCCTAAAACTCTGCTTACTAAGCAGGTATTTCTTAATGTGCGTCAAGTGCCAAGTGGCAGTGCCTCTCAAACTTTAGGAGCCCTGGCGGCTTTGTGGGTTAGACTTGAGCTACTATCAGCAAGGTCAGCTGTACCAAACCCTGCAGACCCTCCAAGGGAGAAAGATGAGGCTGTGTCCTCCATGAGCCAGAGGGGACTTGCCCTCGTTAAAGTTTAAAGCAGATAAAATGTTACCTCGAGGAGTAAAGTGGACAAAAGACATAGAATTGACTGATGGCCTGGCTCGTGAGGTTTAATGAGAGAGGGATCGTGTGGCATCTGGTTTAAATGCCCAGCCTGACTGCGTCTGTAGGTCTGTGTGCGGCCTGGGGTGTGCTTCTCTAAGCTGCTCTGGTGGTGTTGACATGGCGACAGGAGGCCCGGGCAGTGGGTGACGGTTGTCAGTAGGGGACTGGACATTTCGAGGAAGGCCTGCGCTGGCAGAGGGCTCCAGTCTGTACACCGAGACACAGAGCCCACCTTATCTTTGATCCAGGCAGCCCGCCTTCGCGATAGATTAGAATCTCCCCTGCACCTCTGCCAACCACCCAGGGGTGGGACCTCGGCCTCCTCTTCCGGAAGCTCCCAGGCGATTCAGATGAGCCACCTGGCTCTGCCTGCCCCCGTGAACCCGTCAGGGAGTGTGAACCAGGCCCCAGGTGCCCAGTCACATGGGGTGCGTCGGTGTGAGCTGGGGGTGGGATAACAAAGCCGGCGACAGCAGCTGCTGGAACCATCCCTTCCCACCGCGGCCTCAGTTTCCCCTCTGTGCAGTCAGGACGCTGCCTCCACCTTGTGCTCCCACAGTGGCTCTCCCCGTCCCCCTTGCCACCTCCTTATCCGTGGTCCCCTTCTTGGTGAGAGCAGCCAGCACCAGCTTCAGGACAAGGGCCCTTCACACTGCCGGCTGTGCCAGCCCCGCTCAGCCGGCCTCCTTTCCGCACACCAGGCGGGAAGGTCTCCCAGTTCTTCTGGAGACTCTGAGCTGTCCTGACCAGGAAGGAGGCCTGCTGCTGGCAGGAGACATGGCCCTCAAGGCCAGCAGTTTGAAACCACCCGCCACTCCGAGAGAAAGACAAGGCCTTCCGCCCCCGTGAAGATGTACGGCCTTGGGCATCTAAGAGGGCAGTTCTGCACTGTCCTGCAGGGTCACCAAGAGTCAGAATCGACTCCGGGCACTGGGTAGACCGATCATGGACAGTGCTGGCTGGGTGGGTAGAATCCTCTCCTCCCATGCAAGGAGGTCCAGGTTCGATTCCCAGCCATTGCACCTCATGAGCGGCCACCACCGTCTATCTGTGTGTGGAGGCCGGTGTGTCAGCAAAGCTTCCGGACTAGGCTGGACTAGGTGAAACAAAACCAAACCAGCCCTGGGCTCCCGTGAGTCAGGGGCTGGCACACTGACAGGATGACACGTGCAGACACGTTCCCGACTCCCACGGGACGTGGGCTGCCCGTGACCCCCGCCCCTCCCAGGACAGAGCTGTCTCTGGAGCCTCAGCAGGGGCTTGCAGTGCAACCATGGGCCAGCGGGGGCAGGGCCTCTGGCTTCACAGAGAGGTGACAAACGGGCCAGCCTCCTTTTATGGGACATCGGCATGGCAGGAATCCCAGGCCTGAGCCCCTCCGCCCAGCACCGCCTGGTCACCACCCGAGTGCC